TAGGTTTAAATGAATGTCTACAATGCTTTCCAAGTTGACAACCTTCACACTCCAGACTTGACAAACTAACAGACTAAAAAAGTTTTGGAAATAAAAAACTCAAAGAAGAAAAAGGTAAATGGCCCAAACGATTATGCCAAATCATAATTTGTCCCACAGACCCCGACTCACTATCCCTGTTGACATGATGACTCTGATGAGGAGGAAGTACATCCAGGAGGTAGATTCCATTCACTTCACGATCACTTCCAGTCGTCCTCTTTGAATCCAGATCCTGCAAAATACAATGACTAGGAGAAAAAATTACTGAGCAGTTCAGGTTTTTAGTCAAACTACTAACAGATAACAATTTAGTGCTCAATCTGGGAACATGAAGGACAGAGCGTAGAGAAATAGAATCACTAATTTTGACAAATCCCTTCCCAGCAATAGGAACATGGGATCCATCAGCTATGGAGACCCTATCTCTGCCAGAACAGAGCTGGTAAGTTGAAAAAATAGTAGAGCTCTGGGTCATGTGCTCTGAGGCTCCAGAATCTATAATCCAAGGAGATCCCTCCTTACCTGAAGTAGAAACATAATTTGCAGTGACGTGTGAACTACCTGTGTGAGCAAAGGAAGTAGATGTGTGAGCAAAGGAAGTAGAGTGGACTCCACCAGTGCCACCTGTACCTTGCTGTCCGCTTGCGGCTGAACTGAAACTGGCTGTGTCTTGCTGGTTCAGAAGTAACCCATACCTCTCAAGTTTGGCCCTTACTGCAGCAGCTGCAACAGACTCCAGAGCAGCTGTAGTAGGAGGGGCCGGAATGTCACCAGTAACTGCCATGTGTGCATTTCCCTTCTTATTTTTCAATCTAGTCGGCACAAGATGTGGGTGAAGCTTCCAGCAAGTATCTCTTGTGTGTTTAGGCTTCTTAYAGTAGTCACAGATCAAATCTCTTTTATCTTCCTTCTTGATTTCGCTGCCACCCCGATCTCCACTTTGTTTAGGTTTCACAACACTTACCATGGCAGACTGATTAGGAATAAGGTTTTTCATCATCACATCTCTCCTACACTCCTCCCCTGACACAAAGGCATATGCCTGGGAGAGAGCAACACTGTCCCTGGAAAGAAGGTGCTGTCGTGCAATATCATATTCAGGATTAATGCCAGCAAGAAATTCAAACACCCTATACTTCTCTAGATGTTTTTGATAGGTAGTTGCATCCTTAGTGGTTTCCCAAGCAAATGTC